CGCGTACGTCGGGTGGTTCAAGTCTATCTGCTGCACCTGGTCGAGTTGGTTGCCCTCCGCTGGGAGAGTGATCCAGCCGTCCTCGTGGTCGTGTTGCCGTTCCACCTCCGGGTACTCATAAGGAGCGCCCTCGTCGTCCGGGTAGTCTATCTCAACAAGCTGGGCCACCTCCTCATGTTGATCGTTCCACTGGAGCAGATTACCTTGGTAGCCGCCAGTCGCGTCTGCTGACTGGACTGGGTTAACCCACATGGCGTCTTGGCGTGCTCCGGCGCCGAAAGGCGTTGCTTTCTCCGGCACCGGATGTTGTTGTCCTCCCGACCGGTTGTTGAACTGTGAGTACGGCCTGATGTTAGCCGTCTGACCCCGCGCTGGGAATTGTCGGTTCTGGGCTCGATTGCCGAACTGAGCGCCTGCGTCTTGGCCTGTCGTGCCCTGGCGGTTGTTGAAGCTCTGTGTACTTGGCTGGGTGTACGCGTTCGTCGAGCTTTGCCACTGCGCCCTCGGGGTAAAATTGCTTTCACCTGGCGTGGCGTACTTCTCGATCTCGTGGCCTCGCTGGTCGACCGTAAACGACGTAGCGTATTTCGCTCTGCTTAGCGACGCTATGGTGGTCTCTCGGTCTCTGACCGACGCCATGAATTGGTCGATCGTCATACCAGCGGTCGGAGGGGGGATGACCGCTTGGATCGGGGCTTCCAGCGCTCCGTGAGCCGTGAGCAATTGCATCGTTACATCCTGGTAGCATGACCTCGCGTCGCGCAGTATGCCATGAATGAAAGTCTGCAGGCTCTCGCCGTTGTGGTGTTTTTGCAACGTGTACTCCGCCCTAGCAATGCGGCGTAGCACCTCTGATGGCGGTTCGCGGAATTTGTTGATTAAGGCCGTACAGACCTGCGACAATGGGGCGTGGTGCAGGCTTTCACGTTCCGCTGGGGTCAAAAGAAAGCTGTGCCATTCCAGCGCTGAGCCCCGCAGGCAAGAGATCCACACCTCTTTGATGGCTTCCTCCGTTCGAGTCTTCGCCATATCCTGAAGTCTCTGCGTGAACGCGAAGACGCACTTGTAGACCACACCGGGTGCTTTGGAATCCGTGACGACTCCTCGGCCTTCAGCGTCCGCGATTTCCGGTTCGAAGAATCCAATATCCGTTGTCCGCACCGGCCGTCTGGACTGGTTACCGGGGACGGACGACTCCGCCGGGCTCGTAGACCCTGTTGTCGTGGACGCTGGGCTCGATTTCTTGAGAATGTCCATCATTATCTTCTGCGTCTCCAGGTTCTGCTCCATCAACCGCCTCTGCGCCTCGCGCTCCTCCTTGCGCGCCTCTTGGTCCGCTTTACGGGCCTCTTGCTGCTCCTTAATCATTGACATCACCAAAGCCATCATGTCCGACTGGTTGGACGTCGGCTGTGGAGGGTGTTGGCCAGGCGGGGGGAACCACGGGGCGTACGGACCCTTCGGGGGAGAACCCCAATGCTGGAGTTGCTGGTGACGTGAGTTCTGATGGGGAGGCCATGGTTGCCCCCACGGGTGCGGCCAGGGCCCAGCGTACTGCTGAGTCTCTTCGCTGGCGCGCGATGGCCCTTCGCTGGGACGCGACGGTTCTTCGCTGGCGCGCGATGGCTCTTCGCTGGCGCGCATTGGTTGAGGCGTCGCTGATTCGTCGCCGCGTGCTCGGCCCGCGACCGATGCTTGAGGAGCCATCGGGGAAGGGGTCGGTGAGACGTCCTGCTTCTGCTTCCCCTTGGATGATGAAGCAAAGTCGGGCGGCGGCTTGCGAGTTGCCTCAGGCTCCTCCGTGCCCCTCCGCTGTGTAACTGGCGGGCGAGGCGCCACGAGGGAGCCTCCGGGAGGCCCGAAGAGTGGGCGTTGTTCCTCCCTTGGGAGAGGATTAAATTGCCGTGCCGGATGCCGAGGTGGGAGTACTCTATCCGTGTCTCCAGTATCCGAGGCCGTGACTTTGGGTTTCGCCCGACTCGCCTCTCCCTGAGAGCTTTCTGGTTCGTCCGGGCTGCTCAGCAGTCGCATCCGAGCGAGCCGCTCGGCTAGCACGTCGGGGTTGTCGTTGCTTTCCGTCTCTGTCTGGGTTTGTTGCTGTTCGTTGGATGGCTGCGTCGAAACCGGCTGCTCCGGTGCCCGTACGAATCGTGCCGCACTTGGCTTGTCGAACTTTGACGCCTTTCGCTCCCAATGCTTCCAAGCCGTTTGGAACTGTTTCCCGAGGCCCGCCCACTCGATCGGGTAGTCAAAGGCCTGAGCCTCGGTCGGGTGGTAATCGTCGAAGTCGAACGCTATGTGCTGGACCAGATTTTTTGACTGTGGGCTGAGCTTTACCTTCTGCTGCGTTGCTGACAGAAGACGATGAATCCGCTGTGCTTCCTCTATCAGTTCGGGCGAGGGCCGTTCCGACATGGAAGCTCTTCAGTCTCTACCGAAGTCGAGACGTGGGTCCGCCGCAATGAGTGCGTATACGGAGCACCGGTAAAACCGAAAAAATAAAAAGCCTCAAGGCCAGCAGATCGCAATGTGCAATTGCTACCAACTGTGAGGGTGCACGTGCAAACGTGGGGTGAAATATGATATGATGATAGATGATGCCCCCCGCTAAGCTGGTGTGAGCCCACGATGGTGTCCTAATAGACACCCCTCACGTGACGTGCCCTGGTGTCACGTGACGTGCACTAGTGTCCCGTGACGTGACAAGGAGCTAGTCGATGGATGACGTGACTGGGCGGGTTTGGCTGGGGAACTTATGGGTCACCGGGTTGCCATTGGCCAAATCATAAATGCCTGTCGCGAAATCTCCGAGCTGGCATGTACTGGAACGTGCATGTGAAACGCGTGGAAGTGTGAAAAGACACGCAACGCAGATGGCGCGCCACCATGGCAAATTGCAATGAATAGTTGCCGTATAAACAATGTGATGCAAATTTTCGGTCTCCTGAAGATGGGCCAATGGCAAATCATAAATGCACCAAAGTGTGTTTCTGTCTCCCTCAACTTCTTCGAGCGTCATGTTTCTAGGACTCTCCTACCCTAGAAGATGGGATGCAAAATTGTCAACGGCCGACACATGCCAAAGAACCCAAGCAATTAATCGTCACAGCCTTCTTTACTTCCTCCCTTTTCACTCTTCATTCATTAAATTCCAAAGCTATTCAGTAGATTGAAATTGAAAAAGTGTGCGCTGAATTAATACATGACACATGTCTAGCTTATGCAAGAGGCAGAGAAGAGAGATTATGTAGCTAGAGAGGTCAAAAAACACGACCCTCCTTGAAAACAGCAATCGTCAAACTCCCATATTAACAACGCCAAAGCTGCGGGTATCACGAATTCTATATCACTCGTCTGTCACTGAGGGCATCGTACCCCCACGTGGGAGCTTGCCAATCCGTTGATCAATGCGTCGCCTCCTTTAAGAGGAAGAACCGATAAAGCACGACATGGGGAAAGCCCCATTGCTGTAGGTCTTCTAGTGGGACTGAAGTAGGGGCAATCATGGCGAGTTTTGTTGGAATCCTTCGTCGAGCTCTTTTACCCAGTGCTCCCGAAGACGCCGGGGCATCTTGCAGAAAATCATCGCCTTGTTCTCGTGAATCAAGACATTCTCTGCAATCTTGATCTGCAGCTCCATGCTCTCATCCGCAAAGTCACTGAAGAATTGCTCCAGCGCCAACTCGCACCAGGTGGGCGCGTGGGCCATTGCTGTGTCGGAGAGTATGTTGCTCGAGGATGCGGAAATCCGGGCGACCGAGTCACCAGCAGTGGAGGTGCGTTGCCTCTTATCCGAAGATGATGCAGCTCGACGTGCAAGTGCCGTCGTCGTCGGCATGAGGCGCAGTCCTGCGGTTCTGTTCAGGGTGGCCTGCCTCAGACCGGATGACGATCGCATGAGACGGGGGCTGTTCTGGCTAGTCGCATGCTCGGTTTGTAATTGCAAGACGTCAGGTTCTGGCATCTCCGAATCGTCCCTCGCCATTCCTTCGGTCCTCCTCCGCCTTCTCTTGACCCGTTTTGGGGCACCACCCGACCCAACCACATCGGGATACAGTATCTCCATGTATTCTTCGTGATCAAATGGACGACCCCGGAGGGCTCTTGAAAGAGGCTCTTTCTGTGTATCGGCGTCAGCATGCTCTAGCTTTATTTTCCAGACTCATTTCTTCCTCTTTTCCCTGTCTTTGGGGCCCATTCACTCTCTGGCGTGTCATGTTCTCAACCCCTACAGGACACGTCCACGGCAACGCTGCTCTCACTCACCTCTATATGCGCCTTCCAGGCAGCTTCCGATGCAGTCACCGTCTTGGTGTCAGAATTGTATACAAAGTCTGGGTCCTCGCGCAGACCACGCCAGAGCCGGAATCGTTTTCGCGCATTGTCGCTCTTGTTGATGAGGTGGCTTTTTGTAGGAAATGCGGAGTGACACTCTTCCAGAGCCTTCGCGGCGCGCTCCCAGGCCTCGGTCTTGAAGCTGCTGTTCTCGCGCAACCCAAGCTGGACACTGGCGCAGAGGCTGCGGAAAAAAGTCGTCTCGTATGCGGGAGTCCAGCTGAAGCGCGGAGCCCGGCGATCGCGATCGATACGAGAAGCCGATTGACTATCGAGGCCGAGTTCGGCGTCGTCTTCAGACATGGCCGCGAACGGGCACGGGACGGGCGCGAGACGGAGACGAGACGGTGACGATGACTCAAGATCGCGTTTCTATGTTTCGGACCTCTCTACCAATGAATACCGGCAGCAGGATCGGCAGCCAGCGGCAACCACGGCGCCGCGTCAATGTGGCGTGCGACAGCCTGCGAACTTTGTGATTGGGATGGAGGCAATGAACAGCAACGCAATTTCAAACATTCGGAGCTTCAGGCCTGCAAAAATACAATGGAGCGCGGGATCCAATCAACATGAGCTTCTGAGTTTGCGTTGCTTGCTTCATTCTCGAGCAAAAATGATAAGGCTTTGTAGTGCAAAATAAGCCCACTGACTTCAACAACCGCATTGGGCGGATGGTTTAGTGGTATAATACTCCCTTAGCATGGTGTCTGGGAGTGGTCCGGGGTTCGATTCCCCGTCTGTCCATTCTTTTTCACAGTCGCACACACTCGCATGTTTTTGCCAGGGGTTTTTTTTGCCGTTTCTTTCACTTTTTCTCTTCGCCGGCCCTGTTCACTGCATTCAGTCTTAGATGACTAGACAGACTTATATGTCCCGTGGAATTGTGTATTCATCATACTTTTCGTCACTGTAACTTGAAACAGAGGCGAAACTGTGCTACATGACTCTGTAGAGGTGACTTCTTCTTGCCGCGTTCTCCTCGAGTCGTTGGTAAGACATGGACGTTAGAGACGAGTCAGGCCTGCATCTGCATACTGCCTAGCTAGGTAGTAGCGATAACGAGCAACTTTGCAAGTTTGTATGTATGTATGTACATACAATACTATAACTCTGTAGAGAGGAATATGTAGGTATGTATGTACTTTGCCGGAACTGGAGCCGCAAGCCGGCGCAGGTCGGTGTTACTGCCCAGGCGACGTGCCCCATCGGGATCCGGGCTTTACGATCTAACCGATGTTATTTCCAAGCTGACGGTCCATGAGGGCGGGCGGGCAGACGTATCCATCGCCAGCTCATGAATTACGTGAGAGCTCGTTTCACATCTCTTTTATCGTTTAGGGTGAGGGACATGCTGGCCCCACAAAGGATGACATTTATCGATTTATGCCTTGCTCAATGCTCACATCATGATAATAATTTGTTGCCAATGGGCTGTTGGCAGTTGCCCCAGACTTGCATACAAGGTCTGATGCTTCTCGCCGAGAAGATGGAACACTTGGCTTGTTTGAGGCGCGGGGGGTGGTCCCAAGATCCATGATCAATCATGAATGGCGTCTGGATAAGGACTGTCTGGGCGGGTTTGGGCGTCACTTTGGGCGTTGCTGTGGGCGTGCGAAGGCGTGCGGGAAGTTGGGAGGGCTGACTTTGATAAACGATGCAAGTTGCCTTGGTTGGGCTCAAGATCACATGTAGGAAGGTAGGAAGCAGCCCCAAGACTCCAAGAGGTTGGACTTCTCACGGTTTCAGCCTTTGCTGCATGTTGCCGAGGCCCTCGCACCAAACATGTGCATCGCGCACCGCATGAGCGGCGAACTCTCTAAATGCTGTCGAGTCGGCGCTGGGGAAGGAGATGAGAGATTTGGACTCCAGAAAACTCGAATACATATCAGGAAACTGATAAATAAATATCAAACTGACAAGACACGAAACCAAATCATTGGCAGGCCGCGCCGAATGCGTTCTCGCGAGACACCTGTATATATCTCAGATGTCCTGTCTTATTATGTAGGCCTACATATTTTCTTCTTCCCTTGTTTCCGACGGCTTGGCAGATCCGCAGTTCCCCTGAAGCGCGGGGAAATGGAACAATGGAGAAACCTTCCCGAGATCGGTAAAAAAGAGAACGAATCATGAACCGCGAGTAGACAGCAGTCACGTGCGCCATCTTGCTTCTATTGGATTCTAGTGTCGCGTTTTTACCCGTCGCCTGCCGCCGCCCGGCCGCCCCTCTCCGGACGAGTCCGGGGTAATAAAGGAACCAACTCTCCACCCCAGAGTCAGTTCGAACCCGAACAAGATCGAGACGAGTCAAGAGAGGATGGATGAACAGGAAGAATGAATCCCACCTGTCGAAGGGAGTCTGTCGTCAGTGGTCACGAGTTATCACTGACGACACAGGGCCGATTGCTGTGCAAGAAGGGATTTAAGATTTCCTTTTATGCAAGCCGCCGGATTAGATACGCGAAGGAATCTTGCCATTTCCCATTTCCCATTTCCATTGTTGTGCCACGAACCCTAAGCCGTAAGCCGACAAACGCCTTTCGGTCGGGTGCTCCCACAACCTTCGCCGGGGCGGGTCTGAGACTCTGGTCTGGGGTCTGGGGTCTGGGGGTCATGTTGTCTAACCTACCTAGCCTTTTTGTTGCAAAAGGCACACCATTATCCAGTTGATGGCCGTCTCGTCACATTGCATGAGCATCGTGACGCGCACGCGGCCAACAGATTTTTTTTGAAGATGCGAAAAGGGGAAAGGAGGGGTGCAGGGGGGCTCACGTCTGGAGGATTCACGCGCCCGGCTGGCTTCTTCGACATACCGGTAGGTGCTGGGCCGAACGCACATGACTCTGTTGGTCTTGTTACCCTTTTTTGTGTGGCCTTTTTACAATTCTCCTTCCTATTCTTGATCCAAGGGGGGGGGGGGGGGGGGGGGGCCCGCCACGCCCGCGATCGTAGATGTGATGCCTCACTTTTCGGCTGTATGGCTTGAAACTGCTTGTGGCTGCCTTTGGCTGTTTGTTTCATGCTTGATGTCGGCGATGGCTGATTGTCGAATTTGATATCACATTGATGGTGTTTCATCCATGTACCTACATACCTTGGACCTACGTGCATCTTCATCAATTTCTCCCATCGTCACACATTCTTCGCTCCCATCTTGCCATCTTGACGCTTGGCCGGCCAAGTTTTCTTGTTGGCTTATTACCTTGCCGGCCGGGCAAGAAGCGAAAGTAACGAAATCCATCTGCAGGCTGCAGCCAAGACGGGCAATTCTGCCGGGGGGGTTTTCGCCGTTTGCCCTCGATCGTGGGATCTAGCCAGCCCACCCTCTTCTTCTCTGCGCGGCTCCAATGCTCAGGAACCAGACAGGAAAGCCCCCCCTTTCCTTTCCTTTCCTTTCCTTTCCTTGCCAACTGGAGTTTGGGTTGGCATTAGGTACAGTATTGTTAAACCCGACGACGATGCTGGTTGAACAAGCGGCGGGCCGAAAAGCAGGGGGGGGGTTTTACGTACAGAAAAGGAGCACCTACCAATGTATGTACCACAGTTTGAATGCTACTGAGCAAGCACAATTCTTGTCTAATCAAACCAACCCATTGGCGCTGGGCGTCTCTCCTGAGTCTTGATTCTTGAATCCTGATCAGTGATGAAAGCTTTGAGGCAATTTTACAAAAAAGAAAAAAAGGGGACCAAAATAAGAACGGGCCGGGAAGCGCCCCCCCCTTCTTCTTTCACCTGACTAATCCGTTCCTGCACTAGGCTGCTCCTGTACTGACGTCCGATCCCTCGGCTTCCTCTCTCCATCCTCTTTCCTTTCCCCAGACGATAAATCCGCCGAAGAGGACCTAAGGAAACTAGTCATCTTGGTGGTTCTTTTTTTTGCAATAATGCCAGCCACGTGTACCGTGTGTTTGTAATTCGGCCCGTTGAGTCTCGACTCCTCGAGGACGGAGAACAGAGAGCGCGTCAACGCCAGTTCCTGCAGAGCGGCATCGATCCGTCAGACCGTTTCCAGTATTATCATCCAGCGACGACTCGAGAGTCTTACTTTAGAATCTCTGCGTGTCATTCCTCCCCGTCCCGTCGAGTTCGGGTAGAGGACGGGTCATTCTGGAACAAGGATGCAGATACATATTGAAGACTACCTATGAAGCCCGTGACGCGTTGGTGCCCGGAGGGGGGGGGGGGGACGGGTAGCGTCAACCCGGTCTCCTTCCCGCATCGATAGGTATGTACATATTGATATGACAGTTTAAGACTTTCGCGCGACACATGGAAGCCTTCCCTCTTTGTGCTGTTGCACCGCCAACTACTGACTGTCTGTGCGATCGTCCCAGTCGGACATTAGCAGTATGTATGTACATACTCCGTAGATTCTGAAGTTTCATGCCTTTTTTCATTCGGCACCGGCTATTCCCCCTGCACCAACCGTGAGTGAATCCGCGAAGGATGCTCTCTGGATCGGGTGTCAGCGGCTCTGTTGGGCGTCTCCATGTCTTCCTTCCCGCCTCGGTGCTAGACTAGTGCTGTTCATGGCCTTTCTGTCCCATGGCAGTCCAAGCTGACTTGTCGTGGTCACTTGAGATGGATGTTGTATGCCCTCCTTACACAGCTCAGGGGTGCCCCCCCCCCCCCCCCCCCCCTTGTCTTCTTGTATGTCAGTTGTGGTATCTTGGGCCCTTGGCTTTTCAAGCCTAGTATCTGGTACTATGGGGGATACTTGGCCGATTTCCCCAACATTTTCCATCTGATACAATGGCACTTGGGCGGATAGCTTGGTGCTACTGTCGTCCTTGAGTCTTGAGCTCCCGAGTATATAATAAGTTGATCATGCCCCCCATCACTTGACAGTTCATCAGCAGTTCTCTCTCATTCGCATCTCTTGTGGTTTCGTTCCCTCAAGCTTATAGAAAGTCTTTGTGTGTGTGTATCACTCTCCTTCGAACTTGTGCTTCTCGCCAGCCCCTATTACACTCCTTGTCCGGCTCGACGTCGCCTCCATAACCCAAACAAAAACAACAACAACAACAACAACAACAACAAAAACCCTTCTATCACAATGGTCAACCACCATATCCTATCCAGTGTACTACTGGCCTTTACGGCCTCGGTCCAAGCCGGTGCCCCTGGCTATCCTGGCTTCAGCCTCCGATGGCAAGACGACTTCTCCGGCGCACGAGGCACTTCCCCCAACACACGCAACTGGAACATCATCACCGGCAACCTCGGTGTAAACGGCGAGCTGGAGACTTACTCTGCCAGTACGCGCAACGTCCAGCTCAGCGGCTCCAACTCTCTCCAGATTGCGCCCCTACGGGACAGTAGCACCAGTGGTGGATGGACATCCGGCCGCATCGAGAGCAAGTACGTCTTCACTCCCACGGTCGGCAAGATCACCCGCGTCGAAGCCGCTCTGCGATTCGGCTCCAACGACCAGGGCGCAAAGAAGGGTATGTGGCCGGCCTGGTGGATGCTGGGGAACTCTCTAAGGACCGGCGGCAGCTGGCCCTCGTGCGGAGAGATCGATCTCATGGAGCAGGTCAATGGCCAGGCGATTGGGCATGGCACCGTTCATTGCCAGAAAACCCCCGGCGGTATCTGCAACGAGCCCGGTGGTATCGGGAGCCCCGTTGGGGTGTCTAACAACGGCTATCACACCTGGCGTGTTGAGTTTGATCGCCGAAGCAACGACTGGAAACAGCAGAGCATTTCCTTCTTTCTCGATGGGGGCAAGTTCCATCAGGTCA